ATCAGTTCAGTTACGTTCAGTTAAACTACGTTTTCAATTCAGTAGATGTCTGCGGCTTTCAGCTCGGTGCGGCTTATATTGAGGTGCGCTCTATAGTCCGGAAATTACGGTAAATCGTTTATATTTTCCCACTATTTGATGCATCTTCAAAAAGAGGAGATTCCTTTTTTATTTTTGTGCTTTTTAGATTTGAAAGTGCATCCTGCACGGCAACACAGATAGCCACGGTACCTGCAGCACGTTGCTCTATAAATCCACCCGTTGAGGGCAGATACAACTTGAAAGCTCCGCTGCCCTACAAAAATAACAAGCAACAGCATGAACGGCCAACATGATTGAACTCATGAGTGAAAATATGACTCCATGAATATAAACATGAGACAGCCACAGGCAAAGAGAAATGCAGCAGCAGAAGACGAAAGCAACAGAAAATCAGGCAGAATCCAGAGCGTGGGGCAATTTATAACATCTATTAGCAGGTAAGGGGTTTGACTTGTGAAAAATAATAGCTGAATGGAAACACACACACACACACACACACACACACACACACACACACACACACACACACACACACACACACACACACACACATCAGAGGCACCAACATAAACAGAGCAGGAAGAAGGGTGACACAGGGAGGCTAAAGGGAATGTCAGATTCTAGAGCGTCTGAACATTTGACACAAACACGCTGGTGACACTAGAGGAGGAGTTAAACAGCCTTCAGATACCATGACAGCTCATCCTGAGGCAGACGCAAGAAATCAAGCAGATCTGGCTTGCAGCTTTTGAAATGAACATTCTGTTCATCCAACAGGAGAAAATCTTAACAGCGCAGAGGTGCCACTGGGGGGGGGGGGGGGTTAGAGGAAGTATTGCCCCCCCAGAGTAAATTTGCAGCCCCTGACCTCCTCAGATTGCAAGAAAATTAGGGAAATGTCAGTTTTGATTACCCTGAAATGGTACTAATGGCGACTCTGTGAGTACATTTCAACATTTGTGTGACTGTGTACTATTATATGCACAAACTCTCATTTTAATCACAGTTTTGTCAAACTCTATTGATCATTTTCAGTTTCAGGTTATTTGGTCTCCAATCAGTCCAAACTTATGTTTTCGTACCTAGCAGACACTTTAGTCCAGTGACTTGACTTGGATGTGGTTGGCTAAAGGTAGCCCATGGAGCTCAGCTTAAGCCCTTTTTAGAAGACACACCATGAAGGCAAATCAGTGTAATACTGCTGCCGTGGTGTGTCTTACAAACGCAGCATGGCGGCATAGCATTGTGGGAATTTTGAGGCATTTGTGCCGGCACACTTGGTAGTAATATTGCTGCAACGTTGGACTTGTGAATGCACATTGCGCATTGGTGCAACAGAGGGGGGTGTCATGATCATGTGGGGAGTTGCTGTCGAGCTCCGGCAGGAAACTATAATGAAAATGAAGGTAAACACAGGCCGTAAATGTAGCTTATTGAACAGAATCAGCCGAGATGATAAACTGAAGGGATGCAGCGCTCCAGGAGCTTCTCTCTGTTAGACCTGGAGCTCAGATCACCAGACCATTCACGGGGACTTTGAGGGACAGACACCTTTAGGAGTGGCTTGTAAAAAAAATGTGATGTACGCAACTTCGACTGCAAGTTATGTCCAAGTTAAAGGGAAGTCTGTGACAGTGCAGACACCGCCCCATACCCCCTTTATCCCGCCATCTTGTAATCTTTTGTAAAGAACACGATTGCGCCACTTTACCACCATTCTGACCACTTACAAACAACCAAAGGCTCCTAATGCCGGCTCAGTGTTGTTTCTAAAAGAGGCTAAACAGAGTCTCTCATGGAGACTAAATCAATATGGATTCCTGATACCTACAACAACTATTTTAAGAGAAAGCACAAAACGGATGTAGGCCTAAATACAGCGAGAAAAGTAGAGAATTTAAAGCCATCTCTTTCTGACAGCTGGGTCTGGGAGCACAAATGTCACCTCACACGTTTCCTCCTCCTTCCTCATTTCATGCTGCAGCTTAAATCTCCAAACAGCATCTGAAATGGAGCTCCAGTTAATTCTGCAGGGAGGAAACCCTGCAAGACTCTTATAGAGTTTCTTCACATGCATCCTTTTCTTTATGTCATCAGCGCTAAAAACCAGTCAAAGCTCCAATAATTCATGAGCGTTAACAGCGTGTGTTCATGCAAGTGTGTCGAGGACTGGAGGTCAGTGTCAGAAAAACTTGAACTGAGTTTCAGCGTGTGCAGAGAGAGGCAGGAGAAGAAATAGTGATGTATCAGGGTTCTTATGTCCAGAACCTAATGTTCTGGTTTTGATGCTTATCTGCATCTATTTGGAGTTTGAGTTGAACTTGTATGTAAAACATGATCTTTGTTTTGAGTTGTGGCAACTTAAAGAAATTGACACAAACCCAAAGTTTAAATTCTAACCTGCAGAGGTGTGGACTCGAGTCACATGACCTGGACTCGAGTCAGACTTGAGTCATTATTTTAATGACTTATGACTTGACTTGATAAAATCAATGAAGACTTATGACTTGACTCAGACTTGAACGCTAACGACTTGTGACTTGAATGGACTTGCATCTGTTGACTTGATGATAACTTGAGTCATCAGATGCAAGTCTGATGACTCAATGTCATCTTGTAAACATTTTAATAAGATTTTTACAAGATATAAAAAGCCACGTAGCCAAATATGAGTCAAATTTGATATTTTAGCACAAAAGTGGCACGACTCAGACAAAAATCATGAATCATTCTTCGTTCTGGGTTTGATCTTGTTCTGCTAACTGCAGCAGCACTTTGTTTATGATCAGTTTCAGTTGCACTTCCTGCTTGTTTGAGCAGATAAATAAAGCTTTAAGAAGCTTTATGTCTGGAATTTATTTATTATCACTGTCATTAAATTGAAGTTGGACAGATGACTTGATTATGACTAGAAAATTCAAAGTTAAGGACTTGGATTTGACTTGGACTTCCAGATCATTGACTTTGGACTCGACTTGGACTTGGTTGTCTTTGACTTGGGCTTGACTGGAGACTTGTGACTTACTTGTGACTTGCAAAGCAGTGACTTGATCACACCTCTGCTAACCGGAGATGAAGAGGTTGAACTGCTTCCTTCTTGCTGCATTTAAATCAATGTTTATGCCATGGTCTGTGTCTGCGTCTCCCTCATGTGTCTCCTTGTGTGCTCCATTTCCCCCTAAGAATCCCCCTTATGTGTCTCTTTGTGTTCCTCATGTGCCCCCTGCTCTTCAGCCCTCCAGATATCTCTCCCAGGTCCTGTATTCCTTTAGTCTTCCCCAGTCACCCCTCTGCAGTTTTTTATAGGTTCAGCTTTTCATTTTATTAGTCTCTTTAGTATGTTTTCCCCATAGATTTTGTAGTTTCCCTTTCCCTTAGAATAGTAGTTTATTTTGCTGGCTCATCTTGTCTTTAGGTTTTACTCTTAGGCCATGTTAGTTTCCTCCCTTATCAGTTAATTGCTTTCACCTGGTTCTCTCTCCACACACCTGCAGCCATCTGCCTCCCATCATGCCCCAGTGTATATAAGCCCTGTCTTTGTCACAGTATCTTGTCGGTCCATTGTTTGTGTCAGCGTTGTTTTGTGCTCTAAGTGAGCCTTTGTCCTCGTTTCTTGGTTTGTGCTCTATGTTGAGCTTTCGTCCTCCTGATATTCAGGACTTTGGTTTTTTGCCTTCCTGCCATTTTGGATTTTTGGTTCATCTCCTAATAAAGAAGGATTTTACTTTTAAACCGCTCCTGCCTCGTGTCATCTGGGGTTTTCTGCATCTTGGGTTCTAACCTCCTCCTAACCTGCAACGTGACAGTTGATGTTCATGTATAAAGTCATCCTCAGATTAAATATAAATCACGTAAAAACCTTAAACTGAATGAGTGATAATCCCAAAACAAAACCTTCTTCTGACAGAGCGCGTGTAAACAAGAACAAAGACAATATAAGGTAGGTCACTACAGAATCTCTGCAGCCTGCCAAAGACACACACACACACACACACACACACACACACACACACACACACACACACACACATACACACCAAACAGAACAAACAATATCATGAAATGCAGATATTGCATTTATAAGTAATGATATCTTTGTCTTTTTTCTAAATGTTGTGTGCAGTCAGACAACGTTTGGCTAATTTTTCTGGCAGATGTTACGGCGTTGCAGCAGAACACATAAACACATCATATGATGACTAGAAACCAAGACAGAGTTAAATAATAGGTTATAATTAGGTTACCAGAAATGGAGAACAGGAATTTACTTTGGTATGTGCAGAATAAATACACACACACACACACACACACACACACACACACACACACACACGCACACGCACACACACACACACCACTCCAGGGAACAATGAGAGAGTAATGGTTCAGTACAACAGCTTGCAGGCACAGCAACTTTAAAAATAAACGCAGCAACTGAAATGTGAAATTCAACATTTTTCATGTAATTTACTACCAAAATTATATATAAAAAAGTAATTTTCATTGCAACAAATCCAACATTAAACCATTAAAAACAAAAGAGAAACTACTCATCTATTAACATCGGAATACATTTTGTTCTGTACTATTTTTTTCTTCAACTTTTTTCTTAATTAGTTGGTGTTAATTAAATAAAAAATAGCAATGCATTAAACATGCAAGCTGTTTGGGGTCATCTAATACTGTATAAATGATCATTGAAGTTAAAAACGTTGTTCTAGTTTATATGAATTAAAACCTGTAGCCTTCTTTTTTATCCATGTCATAGAAGCATGCTTACGCGGTTTATCCAGAAGATTGATGTAAACACTTTATTCCTAATTTACAAAAACTCTTTCAAATGTGCAAAAATCTAGAGGAAAATGATCAGTTTTGACTTTATTCTTTCACCTGGTTACTTCAATTTGTGCATTCCTCATTTATAATACAAAGAGTGTTAATTTAAAAAATGTACTCACCAGCCAGGACTCCTGCCATGTAAAGCAAACTTATCCGTAAGATGCCGTGAACCATCTCTAAAGGAACGCCGATCATCAGCTGCAGCAAAGCATTAAATCCCAACTGCTCTAAACTGCAGAAAGAGAACAGAGGAGAAATCAGATTTATTCGTGTTAATGAAATTATGACTGAGCTAGTGCAGAAAAATGACGAACAATATTAAACTTTTTTACAAGCTATAAAAAAAACTTCACAGGGTGTTTACAATGGTGCAGGTGCATGTGTGTATGTACATGTTTGTGTAAATGCATGTGCAGACGTGGAAAAATGTGTTGGTACCCTTCAAGCAATGAAAGAAAACCCCACAATGATCACAGGAATACTCTGGAATCTGACAAAAGTAATAATGAATATAATTTCTATTAAATTTAACCAGTGAATATCTGTCATTGCTTTTCAACCGTGCTTCAATAGCCAGTGTCAGAAAGCTTGGTCTCAGTCGCAGGTCATGGGTCTTGCAACAGGACAATGACCCAAAACACACAGCTAAATACATCCAAGAATGGCCAAGAGGAAAACATTAGACTGTTCTTAAGTGGCCTTCTATGAGCCCTGACCTCAATCCTGTTGAGCATCATTGGAAGGAGCTGAAACATGCCACCTGGAAAAGGTGCCCTTCAAACATGAGATAGCTGAAACAGTTTGCTCATGAGGAGTGGGCCAAAATACCTGCTAAATACTAGAACATAATACAGCAACTTCTGCAGGTAAAGTTCCTGAACGTACCCAACATGCATGAACATGTAGCTGAAGAAGCGCCAGACTTGTGCACGGTGACCAGGGTGGTAGACCAGCGGGCTCTTCATGAAGTCTGGCTGATACGTCTGCAGAACCCACTTGTTGAGCATGATGCCATAGCACATGAACACAATAATCTGCAGTACACACACACACACACACACACACACACACACACACACACACACACGCACGCACGCACGCACGCACGCACGCACACACACACACACACACACACACACACACACACACACACACAGCGTCAGGACAACTGACCAGTTCATTGAATTCCTTCAGAGTTCTGATTTAAATAAGTCAGAGAACAGAAAACAAATCCATTAAGCTTCCTGAAGGACATTTTTGTCATTTTTAAAATTTTCCTTAGCTGATGCATGTTAAATTTGTCAAGACATTGCAGCCGGCAGAATAAAGACACATTTGATTCAGTTCCATTAATTTCTTTTCATAGAATAATATCTCATTGTCTCTGTGAATTAAAAGGAACGTGGGCTGTTATTAACATATTCTCATTGTCACTGCAGACCATTCAGTGCAGTTTGGAGCCTCCTGGCTTCCTTTTTACATGATTCATGAACATTTCAGGGAAATGATGTAGTTTAATTGAGATGCTGTTGGTTCATTTCTGACTTGGGGTCACAGAGGAACAACAACAAATGCACTAAGCATATGAAAGGCACGGTAAAAACATGTGATCAAAGGCAGGAGAGGCTGCTTTTGAGGCAGGTAGTGCTGTACAAGTCACGTGTAAGACATCTACAGGTTTCGTAGGAACTCCTGAATCAGTTTTGTTTAACATGAACGAAAGGTCATGATGTGACCCCCCGACCCCTTCATCTAACCTGGACAATGGTGACAACAGCAATGAAGACAGGCGGGGGGCACAGGCGGTTTTGGTGGAAGTACCAGCGCCGGTCCGTCTCACAAGGCAGGATCTCGTAGGCCACATAACGGACGAAACGTTTGTAGAGGCCAAGGCCCGTCTCGTCCAGCAGGATCTCCCTCTGCAGCGTTCGGCGGCCGTTGGCGATGGCACGTCGGAAGCTGCTGGAGCGTTTGCTGTTCATCTGAGTTCAGTCACACAAAATAAGAAGGTTGGAAGTTAAACATCCGACCAGATTGTCTTTGCATCCATGTGCTCATATTGATCTAATAAATCTAAATCTATTGAATCAGCTGCTTTTTAAAGTCGGAAAACGGGCCAGTGGACAGCACCTAATCAAACATCAAAAGACAGCTTGTCCTGTTCAAAGCATTATCTTTCTATTGTTCATACAAACTTCTGATAAAGAATAGTCCCACTTTACAGCTTTGTTGAGCCAGGCATGCAGTTGTTTCATCTTTTATGCAAATAAAGTTTGAAAGACTACGATCTTCATCTCATTCTCGTTTTTCTTTTAGATAAAAGTACAGTTCATTTAAAAAACACATCTTGAGTAACATCAAAGACAGACCATCAGCTGCAAGAGGACACCAAACTTAATTTATCATCTGAAAAAGCTGGATCTTCCCTTTGTTGATTGAATATCTGGAGAGAAGCGTCCGCTCTGAGATGATAAAGATGGAGCTCGTCGATGCAGCTAATTAGCATCAGACGAGTAAACTAACTTTCACACTGATTGCACAAAGGAACAAGTCCCCAAATCTTATGTCAATCCAGAATAATTCATGCTCTTTTCAAATTATTTGGATTTAAGGTCATATTTTATCATTCATGTATGTTTTATGTTGACATTTCACCAATGAGAATTTAACCATTCACACAAAACACGATGAAGCCTCAAATCACTGAGAAATTTGTGACAAACAAAATGTTCAATCAGCATATTAGAACAGCTCCAAATCCTCCCGTTCAGCACGTAGACAGTCTTTCCAGTCCCATCTGCGTGATGAGGAGATAAAAGAAAACGCTGACATTGGAACGAAAGCTATTATGCAGTTTTGTATTAATGTCTGAGCACATTGGTACAACAGGCAGCTCCAGATTTTACTCCTATTAGGAGGTTAAACAGCACTCGCCATGAAGGAAATAAAATATTAATGCAGAAGCAACACTGCTTGTTTAAATAAACATAGGATCTCATTTAGACACATGAGTAAGACTGCTAAACGTGTTAGTTAGCATTAAGGTTAGGATTAGACCAGTACTGGTCAGGGTTAGGGCAAGCATAACACAGTCACTAAAATGAATGGAAGTCAACAACAGGTCCCCACAAGTGTGTCATTGCAAACGTGCGTGTGTGTGTACATGTATGTGCATGTGTGTATGTGTGTGAATGTGTGAGTGTGTGTGTATGAATGTGTGTGCATGTACTATGTGCAAATGCGTGTGTGTGTGAGTGTAAGTGAATGTGTGTGTGTGTGTGTGTGTATGTATGAGTGTGTGCATGGGTGCATGAGTGTGTGCGTGCGTGCATGCGTGTATGTATGTGTGTGTGTGTGTGTCTGTGCATGTGTATGCATGTGTGTGTGTGTGTGTGTGTGTGTGTGTGTGTGTATGAGTGTGTGTGAAAGTACTATGTGCAAATGCATGTGTGTGTGAGCGTAAGTGAATGTGTATGTATGCGTGCGTGTGCATGTGTGTGTGTATGTGTGTGTGTGTCTGTGCATGTGTATGCATGTGTGGGTGTGTTTGTGTGTGTGCGTGTGTGTGTGCGTGCGTACGTGAATGCATATGTGTGTGTGTGTGTCTGTGCATGTGTATGCATGTGTGTGTGTGTGTTTATGTGTGTGCATGTCTGTGTGTGTGTGCGTGCGTACGTGAATGCATACGTGTGTGTTTGCAGGAGGCCTGCAGGGCAGCAGGTCCAGCTCCTGATAGGTTCTTTAGAGACTCAGGATGATAACTGCCCTCATGCCTCTGCTATAAATAACTGAAATGAAAACATCATCAGGAATCATTTAGATTTATATCTGAATTAATCCAACAAGTATGCATAAGATTTACCTGAACAGGCAACAACAGATGTCTGAGATCTTTGGTGCAGCTTAAACAATTCAGCTCATCTGAAGCTGACAAAGCAATTACCTTCACATCCAAGTAAAAAAAGCATTTTCAGGAGAAAAAACAACAGCAAAGAGAATGTGGACAGGAAATCCACACTCAGACTTCTGGGTAACCTTAGCTGCTCCCCGTGAGGTGCAGTGAAACCTCAGGAGGAGGCTCCTACGTAGAACAACTCCTCCATTAAAACACACCATCTCTAATTCATTAGCCAAGTCCTGCTGCTTGTAGACACAGCAGGGGGGTGGCACGGTGAAATAGATTGTGGGTCAGTATCTATAAAAGCTAATGAGCAAAGTATACCTGAAGAAAAACTCTTAATGTTTTAGAAAAAAGAGGAGGAACAAGAAATCCGCTGGTAGGGTAGTTTTGGAGTTGGTAGAAAGAGTAACAAGCCTAAACCGGGGTCGATCATGAGACCGGTGAGAACCATGTTGAGCTACACTGCTGCCTCCGCTACCGATGGAGGCTGGTGTGTTTAGTGTGGAAATCAGTCATGGAAAATGCAATTATGCGTTACTATACTCGTGGCAGGCAGTGAAGGGCGAAAGAAATGCGGGAAGAAAGTTGAATTAAAAGGAACAATTGGCTGCTTACATGAGCTCATGAACTCTGGAGACAACAGGATGAAGATGAGACACCTTCGTTTTCACAATCTCATCATCTGAACATGACTGAACGTCCTCTGAAAGAAGCAGAAATATGCTGTTTGGCTCAGTGACAACACCTGCTGCCTCTCTCTCCTCCTCTCCCATTCATGCTGCCTCTGTGTGAGGATTTGTTCCCTGAAGACACGGCGTAGCATAGCTGTCACTCTGCTTCACCTTCTCCGACATGCAGGACCGCCGCCTCTAAAGTGAGCATTAGCAGCCTTTAGAAGTGACGACAGGAAAGAGACAGCGAACACACAATAAGGCATGCATGAGCAGCCAAAATTTGAGAAAGCTTCCAGACTGGAGCGACAGGGAAAGGTGCCGAGAAGATGACATGAGTAAAACGCCGCGGGGGGAACACACCTCTGCTTTGGAACTTTCCTTTGGAGGTGATAGGAGCCAGGGAATAATTACTGCTGAGGCTACAAGTACACAGATAAAGATAGTATTCTTCTGTGCCTGAATGGAGCTAAATCGGCAGCAGTGTGTGTGTGTGTGTGTGTGTGTGTGTGTGTGTGTGTGTGTGTGTGTGTGTGTGTGTGTGTGCACGCTTCAGACAGCGATGTCCATCCTCATTGTCTTGGCAGTTGCATGATCAGTACTGTAAGCCGCTCCAGGATTTAATCGATCGTCCTTGATGGATTAATTAGCAACACCTCTCGGTCAATACCTTACAGCTAAAAAATAATTACAAATAGCTTTAAAATGTGGCTTAATGCTTATTCAAGACTCCTCTTTGGGTGTGCATTTTTACCTTTTGAATTTGCAAATTTATTTCTTTTCTGACTATTTCTGCCCGAGTTTCCCGTCTGGGACTTGAGTTATGGTTGTAAAAAACACATTAAAGTTCTCATTCGCTCATTATTTCAATACAATTTCTGTGGTCTCTAGTGTGAATGAATGCCTTATGAGTTGTTTTCTGTGCAAGGAAAGCTCTGGCACTCTTGTTTCAGGAAGTAGGAGTTAGTCGGATGTGAGGGGAGAAAACAATGGCAGAATTTGGAGTCCTGATATTCAGACATTTCACCTCTGACTGGCTAACAGCAACACGACTCTACCACTGACTCTGTTTGCTGTACAACATTGATGTTTAATCTCCGCAAATAACACAAGCCTGGAGGAGTTCTGTTGTGTGGTGGAGTAGCTAATGCTAAAGGTTAGCTTCTACTAGTCAAGACATTCTCTGCTGTTTCCTGGACGCTAAACCAACATCAGCTTTTCCCGTTGTGAGCCAGGATGGGTGAGTCCATGAATGCTAATTTACAGTGTGACGTAGATCTGTGTGGCCTTTTCTGACCCCAGTTTTTCCCTGTCTATCTTCTATCGGTGGCTAAAGCAGGAAACAGGGGTAGAAGACTATTTTCATGTTCAGGTCAGTGAAATTCAGAGTCATCAATCATATTTAAAAAATCCACCCGTCCATTTTCGGCCGCTTATCCGGGGTCGGGTCGCAGGGGCAGTAGTCTAAGGCGAGAGACCCAGACTTCTCTTTCAGCCACTTGGACCAGCTCCTCCGGGGGAATCCCAAGGCGTTCCCTGACCAGCCGTGATAGTTAGTCTCTCCAGCATGTCCTGGGTCTTCCTTTAGGTCTTCTCCCAGTTGGACGTGCCCAGAAAACCTCACCAGGGAGGCGTCCAGGAGGCATCCTCACCAGATGCCCGGGCCACCTCAGCTGGCTCCTCTCCATGTGGAGGTGCAGCGGGTCTACTCCGAGCCCCTCCCGGTTGACCAAGCTTCTCGCCCTATCTTTATTTTTTCTTGCCCGGAGAAAACTCATTACGGCCAGTTGTACCCGCAATCTCATTCTTTTGGTCACTACCCAAAGCTCATGACCGTAGGTGAGGGTAGGAACGTAGATTGGTAAATTGAGAACTTTGCCTTCTGGCTCATCTCTCTCTTCACAACGACAGACCAGTACAACACCCACAGTACTACAGATGCAGCACCAACCTGCCAATCAATCTCACGCTCCATCTTTCCTTCACTTGTGAACAAGACCCTGAGATACTGAAACTCCTCCACTTGGAGCAGGACCTCATCCCTGACCTGGAGAAGGCATTCTACCCTTTACCGACTCAAGACCATGGTCTTGGATTTAGAGGAGCTGATTCTCATCCCAGCTGCTTCACACTCGGCTGTGAACCGCTCCAGTGAGAGCCGGAGATCACGTTCCGAAGAAGCCAACAGGACCATATCATCTGCAAAAAGCAGAGACCTGATCCTTAGGCCACCAAAACAGATTCCCTCAACACCTTGGCTGCACCTAGAAATCCTGTCCATTGAAGTTATGAACAGAATCGGTGACAAAGGGCAGCCTTGGTGGATTTCAACTCTCACTGGAAACAAGCCCGACTTACTGCCGACCTAACAGCCCGTATCAGATGGCCTAGTACCCTATACTCCCAAAGT